AGAGAGAGAGAGAGAGAATTTTTTAATATTTATTTTTCAGTTTTCGGTGGACACAACATCCTTATTTTATTTTTATGTGGTGCTGAGGATCGAACCCAGCGCCCCGCGCATGCCAGGTGAGTGCGTTACCGCTTGAGCCACCTCCCCAGCTCACTCAATGATAATTTAACTAGCTCCTGTTAAAAATTACGTCGATTCACCTCAAATGAGTGTTTGTGTAGGAGCTTGCCCTCCGTGGACATGGTTTAAGAATGGTCCTGCTATTATTGATTAGTTTGCCTGGATTTTCTGGTTTTCTCACTTTCTGTGCAAGTATGAAATAGGAATTGATGTTCCATTTGAAAAACTTCTCTCTCTAGTTGAGGGGCTCAAATTCTCCACAGTAACGACACCTTCATGCCAGTACTTTTTTTTTTTTTCCCCAAGAAAGAAAACCGTGAAGCATGCATCTCATCACACAGTATGTCACCAGATCCCCTGCCTTTGCCCTCCAGGGGAAGAGAAGCCCATGTGATACCCTGGAGAGAACTTGAAGGTCATCTGTTCCCAGGGTCCAGGCTTCTTGCCCTTGTGGCTGACCTACCACTCAGCAGTACATTCCCAGTTGGGGTGGCTTCGGCCAAGCCCACTCAGAGCCTCACATTCCTGCAGATGGGCAGCTGAAGGGCTTCTCAGATGCCGACTCAGAGTCTCAGAGACAGGTCTCTAATGGGAGTCACACCAGGTTCTCCTTCAGAGCCCACGGCCGTCTTCCGTGCTCAGTCAGACTGAGGGCAGACGTCAGCTCTTCATTGCTACAGGGCAGGGATTCTGCTTTGTGGCTAGCAAGGCCCAGCTACTAGAGGTCACCCACAGTCCCACAACACAGGGACCACAGATGGCACTGGTGACTCAGATCTCCAGAGCGCCCTGTTCTCCCGTGGCAATTGCCCCTGGGAATGAGAGTGTCTGGGGAAGATGGGGTGCCCGGCGGCCCCGCCCCTCTCACCTGCTCACCACTGAGCTCAGAGGGAGACGAGGCTGAGATGGAGACACTGTCTATGTGCCAAGGGACTGGGGAGGTTTCAGAGAACCTGGGGGACTTAGACCCTGGGTTGGGAGGTGGCCTCCCTTCGGGGCCACAGCAGAAGAGGTAAATAAGGGTGTTCTCCGAAACACGCCCTCTTGGCACCGTGTGCTTGGAGGATCAGAAGAGCATCACCCAGCTCTGAGGTGTGTGGTCCCCAAGCCTGCACCGGGCCAAGGGCTTCCCAGGGGTGAAGGCAACCAGGCTCCGCTGCCAGGCACTGTCCCCTGGAAACAGGATGGGAGC